CAAAGTTATGATAAAAATACTGAAAGAAGGTGCAGCTGCCTGTTTAAAACAAAACATTCCGTTATATAGTCCGTTATATTGAGACATATTTTTGGCATAGAAAGTGATCGAATTGGAGAATGATGTCTGAATCAAAGTTGTAGCCAGATGTGTTATCTTTCCAACGCATTTTGAATCGCCTCAATCGAACATCGAAATACAAAGTTATAATAAAAACACTGAAGGAAGGTGCAGCTGCCTGTTTAAAACAAAAAATTCTGTTACATAATCCGTTAAAATAACAAATTCCGTTAGTTTTTCCGTTAAACCAACAAATTCCGTTAAATAGGCACTTTTTATATATAGAAAGATTTTACGAAATTACAAAATTGGGACTAATATATTTTTGATCAAATGATTAGTAGATTGATTTACCCATGGGGTCCCGTAGAAGTTTTCCTTTTGGGGTTTACACATTATATCTGATATTCATATTTTAATATAAAACCACTTAGAACACCATAATTTGTTTAAACACGGCAATCAGAACAATTGAAAAATTGGTTATATGATATTTTGACTGCCTTATGTGTACTGTCTAAAGTAAGTATTTACACCATTTAATCACACATTTCCTTAAAAAATAACTATTATAAAACTCATTTTGAAGACATAATGGGCATCAAATAGGATATTAATGACACAACTTAGGGTTTGTTTGAGCCCCATTTTTTAAAAGAATAAATTTTGTAATGATGATTTTTAAAAATATGTTATTAAAAAGTACGGAAATTTTTTGAATTTACGTATAAAATTATTTTATTTAAAGAACATAGGTAGACGTGAAGTTAATTTACACCTCTTTCTCGAAGACGGTGTCCTAGTGTCGAATCTCGGGCCATGTGCACGTAGCAAATGGTGGGCACTACAACTTTACTCAAAATAGATGTGGGGGTAAACATGAGAAATGTCCATGATTTGAACTGACATTTTCTTAAGAGTAGCGATTTGACCAATTCAGGGTATGTTTGATGGATATTATTTTGGAAGAATGTATTTTGGAATAGTAGATTGATGGAGAATGTGCGGTTGAAAAAAAAGGAAAAATTATTGATGTGATGGAAAATATTATTTTAATGAAAAATGTGTGGTCGAAAATGAGTAGAAGAATGAGAATAAAAATTTTAATGAGTACCAAATAGGGGCTCAGTGTTTCTTCGTCTTTGTTTTTGCTTTTTAAGAATAATGATAAAAAATCGAGAAAAAAAAGGTACAATGATTCAAAAGAATAAGCCCCAATATTCCCTTTATTCAATGGCGAAAAGCTTTCTACGATGATTGACCCTTTACCTTTCAAATTTCAGTTGAGTTGATTTTACAAATGGTCACTGACGTTTATATAACATTTTAAATTGATCGTAAAGTATTTGGTCATTAAAATTAAATAATGTTACATAATTGGTCACTACTTTAGCACGACTCATTTCAGATCCGATATCAGCTCCTTAAACCTTGACATTGACAATTGTTTTCCTTTACAAGTCGTGAAATTACAGATCTTCAAAATACAATGCGATTCTTGAGATCCCAAATAATTCATTTTAACCAAAATCCTATTTTTTTCATTATTAATAAACAGTCAAGAAAGGTACTAACAAAACTAAAATAGGAGGTCAATAGAAGGAATCGATTGTTTTAGTGTTCGTTAGTTCAAATAAAAGTTTAACTGCTAAAATGCTGGATCCATTGTTATCGAGTTAACGGAGTGACCAATTATGTAACATTATTTAACTTTAGTGACTAAATAAATCACAAAAATACTTTATTCATCAATTTGAATTTTTCTTGAACTTAGTGACCATTAGTAAAATTAACTAAACTCCAATTGGGTTCCGATAGCTGTTCGTGGGCCTCGCAAACCATTCATCACAAATGAACCCCTGTTTGCTTAATTTTGAATTATCTAAAGGCAGATTACCTACAAATAGTGGCGGATACATGATTGGAAGTCAGGTAGGGTGGTCGCTGACCGTCGATCATTGACCATCGTAATAGCAAGGTTATTTATAGATATTTAATATTACAACAATCTATTACTTATCGCAAAAACTCTCCATGTTAATCATTTATCACAAATCAGATTCACAGTCCACAAATATCAAGTATTCTCAAAGTTACAAATTTCCAATTTTCATAAATCATAAACCTCAACATTCAATAACAAAATGACCAATATTCTGAAATTCTCATATTCACAAAATTCCAAAGCCTCGAATTTACAAAAATCAAAATCCTCACAATCAACGAGCTTACAAGCACATCCATAACTCATAAAGCATAAATAATAAATAATAAATCCAAAAATGAACTAAACTCTAAAAGAATAAAAACCAAAAAAAGAAAAAAGAAAAGAGAGGCTCTCTAACCCACAACAGCAAAGGCCAATGGTAGAGATCCGAGGTGGAGAGGCAAGGCATCGGTAGCTGGCAGCAGGTCACACCATCACAGGGCCGGTGCTACGTACGAGACTTCAAGGGAGGAATTGAGATTTTGAGAATAGAGATAGCAGATAGGGTTTACACAATTGCACTGCCTGTTTCGTTTTTCATTGCAATTGAAATTTATTTGGGAGTCTGATTCAATACAAAATGGTTTCTTATAAGATTGGGCATTTGGGCCTTTTTTTAAAGAGGAAATTACACCTAAACCTGGTTTTAACATTCAATTTTCATAAATCTTGAATCAAGTTTCATAATGCAAAAATCAGGTTTTAATTAAAATTTTAAAAATATTTTTTTATTTTTATTTTTAATTATATATACTTCCCTACCCTATCTACCCCAATCAAACCCTAAAATCAATTCTCCACTCTCATGCCTCTTCTCCCGTCTCTCTGCTTCACGGCGGCGGCGGCTGCTGCTGCCGCTCTTCTTCCCCTCATCTCCCCCTCTCATCTTCACTCTTCACTCGTCTCACCGGACACTAGCAAAAACAAGTTTGCCACTCTGCTACATCTCGGTGCCCCTAATGGGTTCTCTGTGTTGGTCAATGGGGTTGCTAGATTTGTCGGGGTGCATTGTTCCTTGGTGTTGAAGAAACGTGGTGATGGTGTTTTGGAGATGGATCGGGTGCAAACCTCGGCAGAGCGAGCGTCGCTGCTGCGACGTGAAGTGGCATCGGCGATTTGAAGTGGCAGCGGCGATTTGAATGTTGCGGAATGGCTTCGCCCAGATCCATTCCTCTTCCCTTTTTTTTTTTTAATTTTTGAGTTTGGTGGTGGAGATGTGTAGTACGGTGGGTGCGACGGTGATGTGCTACTGTGTTGTTGTAGGTGCGGTGGTTGGGTGAAATGGTGTGGTGCTATGTGCGGTGCTAGTATGGTGTTGTGCGCGATGGTGGTGCTGTGGTGCGGTAGAATGGTGGTGTTTGACGACAGTGGAGGTGGAGTTGTGATGGTGCGCGGTGATGGTACGCGATGGTGGTGCGGTGGCGGCGGTGGTTTTTTGTGCGTGTTCGCTTGTTTTGGGGTGGTGTTTTGTTGTTAGGTGCAAATCTGTTTTGGGTGTGGTTGGGCGGCGAGTGCAGTTGGTTGTGTGTGTTCTGTGTACGGTGGTGGGGTGGTGATAGTGGTGTTGGGGAGGGTGTCGTGTTGGTTTTGAGATGTTGATGGTGCCGCCGGTGGAGACGGTGGTGAAATGGTGGTCACAAATGATTTTGATGGTGGTCACAAATAATTTGGTTGTTTGTGACCACTATTTTGGTTGGTTGGCGACCAATCAACGATTTGTGACTAATGAATTAGATAAAATGTGACCAATACATGATGTGTGACCTAAAAATTATTAAATTGTGACCAATAATTTGATAAATTGTGACCTACATATAATTTATGTTCGATTAATGTGATGTTCGTGACCATAAATAAGTATTGTGACTTACAAATTTTGTGATCTGTGACCGATGAACGAATTGTGACTCTTAAATTTTTAAATTGTGAGCAATGAACAAATGTGACCTATGAAAATTTTGAATTGTGATCTAAAAATTTTCGTCGAATGTTCTATTAATGTGATGTTTGTGACCATAAATAAGTATTGTGACTTACAAATTTCGTGATTCATGACTAATGAACGAATTGTGACTTTTAAATTTTTAAGTTGTGACCTATGAACAAATTGTGAGCTATGAAAAATTTGAATTGTGACCTAAATTTTTTTGAATTGTGACCAAATTGTATAGATATGTGACCTTAACATATTCGCCGGAAAGGTCATCGGAATATCCCCGGAGTTGTAGGGGTGGTGGAGGTGGGGGTGAGTTAATTATTTTATAGTAGAATTAAATATTAATAATAAATTAATTTAATAATTATTATTTCATAATTAAATTATAAATAAATTTTAATGAAAACCTAATTTTTGAAATTTAAAACTTCAAATCTTAATTTTGAAATGGTGATACTTAAATACCTTATTTATGTATTGTTCCCTTTTTTAAATAAATAAAAAAAGAGAGGCCCAATGATGAAAATGGCCCTCACAATCACAATTAAAAACAAAAAATGGCCCAACAACTTTGCTTTCATCTTCAACCTAAGTCTACATTTTCTAATTCAATTTTTCTATGATGGCAGAGTCTCTCAATCGACGACAGTGACTCCAGAGAAGCCAGCACTCGCAGTCGTGCCCCCTCACCAGGTGCTGGCTTCATTATTGCTTACAAACCTACATTTAAAGACTAATTTTAAAAAAATTCAAGGAGATTAATTTCATTTCACAAATCATGTAGTAATTAAGTTTTAATAATTATAATTAATAAAAATTTAATTACACCTATTCTACATATTCACCCCACCCACGCCCAACTCCCATTCATCCCAAAATCAAATTCATTTTAAAACCCTAAAATTCTTACCATCTTCATTCTCTCTATCTTTTCTCTCTTTACTCATCCACCCCTCACCAAACCATTTCCAGCATCACCAACCATGGTAAAGCTTTTTTCCATTCCGGCAGTGTCGCTGTTCGCGTCGCTGCTTTTCGTAACGTCGAACTAGGCGCAGTACTGCCTCAGCAGTGTTGACATTGGTGATGCTGCTTACTGATATTTAATGACGTGATATTTCTGGGTAGTTTTAATGCATTTCATTACTCTGAACAAGTTATTGATATTTAATGACATGTTTGTTGGTGGTTATTGTGATCTGATTTGTTGTGGATAGTTTACGATGTGGGTAGTTTGTTGGTGGGTGGTTTTTTTATCAGATCTATTATTTAGCTAGATTTTTGGGATGGCTGTTGGTGTTTTGCAAATGGTATTTTCTGATCCATGGGTTGTTTTGTTGTTGATGGTGCATGTGGTCATTGTGCGCATTTGGTTCTTGACGGTGTTGCGAGTGGTGGTGCTCGCGGCAATAGGGTGTGACCTAGTATGTGTTTATTATGACTTATTGTAACCAATTATGTGTTAGTTGTGTTACAGTTCATATTGATTTGATCACAAATAGTCATACTGAAAATAAATTTGGTCACAATTAGTGTAATTTCCAGAAAATGTTTTCAATTTTTGGAATTTTTCTACAAGTCAGGTGAGGTGAGGTGGGGTTGGGTGGGGTGCATTGGCGTGGGGATATAATATATGTCAATTGTATGTGTGTGTGTGTATAATTGGAATTAATACCTGAATTTTAAATAATTTAACAAGATTGTTAGTTTTGATATATGATGGTTATAGTGTAGTGGTTATGTATTATTCTCATTATCTAATCAAGTCAAAGAAAACCTACCTATTTTTGTACCAAGCGACTGCTTTACGTTTCACATTGATGTGCAAATTACACACAAATAATGTTTAGAGTTTAGATAATCATCGATCCTGTTATTAAATAAAATAAAATCATTTGCATGTGAAATACATCATGAACATTGATGCAAATCAATTAGGAGAGAAAATCATAAACCAATTATAAAAACAAAAGAATAGAGAGACATACGAAATTGCGCATAACTTTCAGCTTGATTGGATTTTCATCCGTGAGTACAATCCGAAATCGTTTTTCAATATTTTACATTTTTTGGATGATAATTAGAGCCATGCTACGTGTAAAACATTGGTTGACAACCACTCACATGGGGGGTCCACTTTTTTTTTTTTAATTTTATAAACATGTGGGCCCCCATACATGTGAGAGGTTGTCAATCGAGGTTGTCCAAATAGAATTTTCTTGATAATTATGACCTTCGGCCAACATTGTCAAGTTTTTGGGACCAAATACCACCATTTAGGGATTTGTTTAAGCATTTTTCTATTTTTAGTTATTTAATGGAATTTTTGCCTTTTGTAGTATTTTAGTTTTTATCTAAATTTATTTACAGAATTGGGATCCCAATATGACTAGTAGTAAGCATGTACATTGCACGTCTTATGTATCAAATGAATAGATGCGTAATATTGTAAAAATATTAATACGATTTTTTAAAGTATTTGAGATAATTGATATCGTTAAAGAATATATATATATATATATGAATAATTCTTTTATGAAATTATGTATATAATATGAAAATATTAAATGAGTGTTGATTGCTCTTATTTTTCTATTTCGAAGTCAATGTGTTTTCCCATTAACATGGGAAAGAATTTTTCAATTGTATCCTTAAATAACGTAGTTTGAAAATTAATTCCCTGAAAACATTATTAAAAAAATAACATATTAGTCTAATAGTGAATCTCCTATAAGAAAAATAATGGCTAATTCTGACATTATATAATACCTCCCCATCACACAAAATTAGTTTAAAACTTCAATGGGGTCATTCTTATTGCTGTGGATCTCAATAAAACATTTTCAAAATACAAATACTTTTATAATTCACTTCAAATGCATTTAGTTGTCTTCTAAAGATATAATCGCAATCTTTATTTGATGACACCAATCTTACAAATATGAAAACAAATTTAAGATATGACAGTAATAATATACATTAACGATTAACAAAATGGAAAAAATTAATATTTTTCAAATTAAACTAACAACCAAACTCATTTTGTTAATATATTGATGAATCAAACCTCGTTTCAGTTAGTGTTTTTGATGATGATATATTCATTTGTAATGTTTCTAGCATTAAAAAAGTCATTAATATGTTAGTTTAGTAATTTATTTGTCAATATTGGAAAAATCATATAGTAATATAAGACATCATACAATGCATATCATTATCAAGAATGTGATTATGCTCAGATATCAATATGATGCAGCAACATATGCTAATTATAATTAACACTTTAAAATTTGTTTAATACCAAAAATTAAAAAAGAATTCTCAAATGATTTTATTTAATATAAAAATCAGTCAAAGACCAATACAAAGTGGTTGTAGTTCACGTCTTAAAAAAAATCTTAAATGTCAAAGTTCAATATAATTGAACATAAGCTAATGTCTCCTCATCTTATTAAATCATGGTTTAATAAATAATAAAACAACTAAATAGAAACAATAAAATTATAAATATTATAAATATAAACCGTCAAGCCAAAGATGAATCACATTGGTGGAAAGAGATATGATATGTAGATGTCTAGCTAAAGGTTACTCCACAAAATTCACAAATATGAACAAAAATAATAATGCTTATTTGCATGAATATGATGAGACAATAATAATGTGGGGGGTGTCATATGCTTAGTTAGGACGTCCAAAACAGATGTATATATACAATTAAAATGATTCGTGGTAATAGATAAATCTAGAATAAAACTTTCATGCAATTAAATTCATGATATTAGAAATTCAATTGAAATAATCAAGCTTAAACATTTTAGCATAATAAAAAAATTTGACCAAAACAACCATTATTTTTTGTAGAATTTGTCTCACGCAAATCGACATTTTCAAAACTCCAATACCCAACATAAATATATTGACATACATAAGCATTATTTAGGTTATTTTCTAATTTTGAGAAGATCTAACCCTCAACAAATTGTTTTCATTGACAACAGTTCTTACATTTAGCCTACAACAAGTTGCTTTCATTGAAAACAATTCTAGAATGAGAAAGAATGATTTTTATGGTTATAATAATCTTAATTATATTTATTACATGGTGCATGTACTAACATAAAGTATCCATACATCTTCACTCTCATTTATTTACATTAATTATTAATTATAAAAACAGTCCT